AGCCGTCGTCGCAGTCGTCGTCATCGTGAGTAGTAGTAGCAGTAGCAGTAGCAGTAGCAGTAGCAGTAGCAGTAGCAGTAGCAGTAGCAGTAGCAGTAGCAGTAGCAGTAGCAGTAGCAGTAGTAGTCGTCGTCGTAGCAGCAGGCAGCAACTGGTGGTGTCGTCGTCGCCATTGTTGTCACTGTCGTGTCGTTTGTTTTCGCTCTGTGCTACTGATACTGTGAAAAAATGAGCATGGCCCTCACGCTGTCCTACACCTGCGGTCATGATGACAGCAAGAATACTGCCATATAGTTGACCCTACTACTACCAATTGGCAGCAGCAAGAATAATCGCAATGCTACCGACCATGTTCGGAAGAGTGATAGCTGATAGCATATCAAAAGCAGTGGACATACCAACGGCGGCAGTACCAGAAGACTACGACAACAGCAGCAGCCTACAAAAGAAAAACAGTGATGCAAATCATAGCGACGATAAACGACATAGGAAGGTTTAGGCCACTAGCAGGTTGAAGTCCTTGTTCCCGGAGCACACTTCATGGCAAACGGACCAGATAAATCGACAACTCACATTTACGGAACGACAATGATACGCACATACATACATACATACATACATACATACATACATACATACATACATACATGCATGCATAAATACACACGGCTATAGCGCAGCGTTTGGTTCCAATCTCATGTTCACATCCCTACTTCACGAAACCCCAAAAATACTAGACCCTAGGCCCCTGCAGGCTAACCCCAAATCCAGAACTAAACGGGATAGCGGCAGCCATACACTCCCGGCAGTAACCCCTAAGGGTTGTACACACATAGTTTATGCTTTGGTCTCATATCACAATGAAGTCCCTATTTTTGTACTTTAGGGCCCATGTGTGTACTTCATGGGCACATGGGCCTTTGGGGAATAGCAGTGGCACAGTGGCACTACGAACCCTTCCACCCTAGACCCTAAACCGCAAACCCCATACCGTGAACCCCAAACCTGAACCCTCAACCCTACCAAACACCCTTAGCAGGCATTTCTGTTCATACCAACCAGTACTAATGTGCATTCGTATGTCCATGAACCTACATACAGCACATGTCTATATATATATATATATAACACACATAACATGGAGATATAGGACACCTTCTCTCGCTCCCTCAACCAGACTGGGAAGCCCAACTGGAGAGCGCTGGGCAGCACTGCGACAGGAGACCCTCGGAACCCTCTCGCCGTGGTTCCTCCACATGACTTCTGCAACACTGCTGCTGCTTGGGGTGAAAGGATACGTGCAAAAAGGGTTGAGTACAGTGTCGCCCGTCTGACGCTGCGCCTACCTGACAAACTAGCCCGCTGATGGGTTGTCCTCATGCACCTAGTGAAAACTTTCCACGGCGCCAACCCTTGCTGTCACCAGCTGCTGTTGCTATACTGAATCGATAAATGAGTGATGTCAGGTCAGTCCGTTCTGGGTCAAGCAGTGGCAGCCTTGGCTGGCTTCTGACTCTTGCCGACGTGCTGCTGTCCAAGACTGTATACGAAGCAAGTCACACCCATTCTTCAACGCTGACATGCCTCGTCAACCTCCGCAGATATCGCTGAAGCGGGTCGGATTTCCGCATAGAAGCCGAAGCCGTATTTTAGCCTTCCAACAAGAGCTCTCTTGGCGAAGGGCTCGTGGAAACACACAACTGGCTGCCTGATTTAATGTAGGGTTCCAATGCCTTGAGGTCGATGGTTTGGATCTTGCAGCACATCAGGTGGGAAAGCTTAGAGAGTTCTGAAGCAAGTTTGGTCGCTCTTGTTGCAACAGTCAACTCTGCCAATGTTTTTCCTCAGAATAGGATCCAAAGGGCAAAGCCCCAACCGGACTCGGGGTCGTGAAATCAGATTCCTATGTCCTGCTTCTTACACTTCGTCTGCGGACTTGTTCGATGCTTGGTGTGGGACCGGCTGCTTTTTACAGTCTCAGCTCCCTTGGTGACTGTCGAGATGTAGACCTCGGAACAACTTCCTTTCGCCAGCCCACATTCGGCAGATCTCGATCTTCAGTCTTCCACATGTGCATGAGCACACCCTCACAAGCAGGCACGTGATGAGCTCTTCTCTCCGGCCTCCCCCAAGAAAGTATTGCACAAGCTACACTCTGTAGACCACGGAAGGCTGCCGTGGAAGGGCCGGAGAGGAAACTCGCTCGAAGCTCCCGGTGCCAGAATCGAAAGACAGCGCTGAGCCCAAGTAGGCACACACTGGACCTCCTCGCCCCAACTCACTCGCCACGCACAGGGGAATCATCCCGTCCGCTATCTCCTGCCCACAGCGGCCACAGCGTTTCAAGCCCCGTGATCGCACATTAACTATGCCTGCGAATATGCCTAGTACTACCGATGATGCCTTCTCGGCTCGACATGCAATGGATGATTTCATGTCCTCGTCGCCGATGAGAAGTAGCCGGCTTGGCCAGCTTGCAGTCGCTCAAGGGTCGCCGGCTCGTCTGAGAAGGAAAACAGCATCGTCCAACGAGTACACGTTGGCTGCCCTTGGAGACACACATTGTGCTTCTGCCGTAGCATATCCACTTCGAGGAGACAAACTCTACAGCAGGCGACGGCCCTGGCTAGCCCCCAGACGTGTCTGTGAATTTCACGGGCTTCAAGGTTTCGGCGAAGCTTACAGCATTCATTCAATGGCGAAGACGAAGCGTCTTCATTCGGAAAACAAGGAAGGCAGATTTCTTGCACGGAACACAACATAGTTACTTAACCCGACAAGCGTCTTTCACTCCCACAACTTCACATCCTCCCTAGCCCTGCACTCCATGCAGCTGTTAAAACGAATCATTGAATCGAAGCTGTGCATGCTTCTGGAAAATAAAGAATTCGGCCGGTTACCCTTGTAATACATTGAACCCCAAACCCCATAGCAAAAAAAATGATCATCAGCACAGTGGCAGATCCCCCTCGCAAAGGTATGGAACGCGTGCGAAGGCCTCAATGAGGATTTCTGGATTCGGGTTGGACAACTTCTGTGAGTCTTCGAGAAGAGCTGATGTCTTGTCCGGCTTGTTGCCTGACGATCTGCAAAAGAGGATTTTGTTTCTTCGGGCGCGTGTCTCCTAGTCCTTGGGATTGGAAGCAGCACATGGGGACAAAAAAGATGTCAGGCTGATCTAGAGGGCCTGAAGTCCAGCATGATAGTGTGATGGATACCTGGTCCATGGTACGTCTGTGGAAGTCTGTGGAATGTTATGTCACCCGGGTCGGCTTGTCGGGGCACGTCGCTCTCCAGACTTTAACGCAACTTCAGGGTGCAGTGCCTCGAGGTGGAAGCCCAGGGGCGCGAGCACCTGGTGGTGTTGACATCAGCTCAGGCTCACTTGCGATAAGATCCCGCTCGCAACCTCAAAGGCTCCGTCGGATTCGAGGGAGAGGAACCGATTTGTTTCAGCCTGCTCGATGCCCGGAGGGGACCATACAACCACGGGTGTCAAGCTCGAATGGACATAATGGCCAGAGTGCAAGGCTGCAAGTCGAATTTAAACCGCAGCGTTACGACTAAACCGACATCGGCACGTAGCTTCATGTCTAAAGTCCGCAGTCAGCGACACAGGTAGCGGGATAGCCTGGATTCAACTCAGGTTGAAACCATCAGCCGTGTCCTAGGCTTCGCTGCTCCAGGTAAATCCCTGCGCCCTCGTACCGTTTGGAGAAAGTCGGAAAGAATCCGAAACCCAAAACCCTCCTGGGAGATGAAGCAATGCTGAAGCAGGAGATGATCCATGGCAAACCCAAAACCCCACTTCAGTAAACCCCCACCAAACCTCAACACATAGGCGATGATGGATGGCAAACCCAAAGCAGTACTCCAGAGAATACATGGCAACCCAAAACTCGAGCAAGATGCAAACCAAATCCGCAAGAGAGTGACAAGTTGCCCAAAATCCCAAGCCTAGCAGGAAATCATGGACATGCTGCATGGCAGGCCACAAAGCCTAGTAGGAGATGACGCGTATAGCCAGCCCAAAATCCTCAAAGGTGTGACTGCTTCCAAAGTGCTGCGAGCTTCCGAAAGTAACACCATAAACCTAAAAAGGAAACGTCCCGACCCCTCCAAACTCCGCTTTGGGATCTCCTGCCTTGCTCCAAAGCTCCTGCGCGGCAGCCTCGAACGTCGCATCTCCTTGGCAACTTGAAATGAGTCGGGCTTCCTGGGAGGCCACCTTGATGCTAAGAGTTATAGCCTGCTTTGGGAGTCTTTGTACTTTCCATACTGGGGGGATGCTTCTCGCAGTTTTAGGTGGGGCTACTGGGAAGATCCAACTGAAATATCAGGAAAACCGGGCCTCTGTTTTCGGGCCGAAGTTGGTCCCCGACTTGGGTGAAGACTTAGGCTTCAGAGCTCCGTCTGCGGTTTCGGGTACGTCTAGATCTGCCTCGCACATGTAGGAACAACATCGAGCACAACATTCAAAAGGGAAGCACATAACCACAATATGTGAGGACAAAACCGGACAGACGCCACGACAGGGCATGCATACTCCCATGATGACGATGACGACGATGACGATGACGATGACGCTGGTGTCGGTGGGGGTGTCGGCGGCGGCGGTTTTGGCGGTCGTCCGAAGGTTTTCAAGGAAGGCGAAGACCCTTGCCCTGGCAGCTTTGCGCATTGAGGGCTAAGATGGCTACGACACTGATGCTGCGGCACCGTCCAAGCACCCGAACCCTGCACCGCTTCCCTGAAATGGAACCAAAACTTTCGGAACCGCCAGAGCTCTTGAAAGTGGCAGCTTCTCCTCTGGCTGCAACCGGAAGATGCCGTGCCTCAGGGTAGAAGTAGGTGGTACTATGAGCACTGGTAAACGGCACGACTGCCCTGGTACTATTAGTACGAGCAATACTGTACTCGCAGCAGCAGCACCACCAGCAAAGCAGCAGTGCTGGGCCTCGCATTTCAGGCTAGCCTTAGTTTTGGCAAGCGCCAGGCAACATCATCTGATCTAAAGACGAGGACACGACTTCTTCAGCTTGAGGAGGTTGGCAGTTCTGAGGCGTTTGGTTTAAAGTTCTTGGTTGCTTGCTTCCCCAAAACTCAGGAGTGAGAGCCACATGCGTAGACCGAATGTATGTGTTCTGTTCCAACCCCTCCTGAAAAGCCCACCATGTCGTTTCCGAAATACGCTAAAGGCTCTAGGACGACAACTGCAGCTCCAGGCTAAAACCACTTTTACAGGAGCTGCCGCATGAGCACGTTCACTATCCTTATTGTCACCATGACGACTACTGAATTGCAATTCTTTGTGCGGACAAAAGAGCTCTACGAAAGGGCGGAAGGGAAGGACCACGGCAATGAGGAGCCTGAATAGACTTCGGATGCAGGGCAGAGCCAGGGCTCTGGGTGGACGCGGTTCCGCTGCAGAGTTTGAGGACAGTGGTCAGCGTCAGTACAAGGCTCTTGCGACTTCGAAATTCACCGCTTCGGCTTGGCTCCTTCTTGTCCAAAAGAAATACACTACCGTACATCTGATCAGTATACCGCAGAATGGAGGCTTTCCTCGGCCACACGGATGTTCCAAAACCCTAAATGGGGAACCTGGATTTGGGACTACTGCGCCGGAAACCATGCCTGCATGTTGCGAGCAACAGAAGCACGAGCACGCAAGCGATCGACATTACCACCAACATCGGCGTCATGATCAGAGGCTTGCCACACCCCGAGACCATGAGCGTCAAACGAACCAACCGTCCAGCCTTCCAGGAGGTGTGAGCCTGCGCCGCAGCTCCTGCAGAGTACTGTACCGGGAACTGTTGCTCTTCATGTGAATGAAAGGTCCACCTCTGCGTCGAAAACAGTTGTCCCCTGCTACGGCTGACACTACCTCTACCGCTCCTCCTCTTCATCCTCATCATCATTCCTCCTCTGCCCTACTACCGTGGTGGGGAACCTCAGCGGAAAACAGTTCTGCTACAAGCATAGACTGTGAGGGCACATCAGTTTTGGAAGGGGACATGCGGAAAACCACTGTCTGAACCCATACTCTCCCAAAAGTAGGGCAACAGGCAATACTGAGCTCAAACTCCTTTTGGAAGCTCGCAGAAACCATGACCCGTGATCGTTTTGATGTAAATAACAAATCTGATGATTGTAACAGTAGTAGTAGTCGTCGTCGTCGTCGTTGTCGCTGTCGTCGTCGTCGTCGTGGCAATATTTATATCAATACTAATAATACTAATAATACTAATAATACTAATAATACTAATAATACTAATAATACTAATAATACTAATAATACTAATAATACTAATAATACTAATAATGCTAATAATGCTAATATTAGCAATAATGAGTGAGTGAGTGAGTGTGGCTGGG